AAAAAAAAAAAAGAAAAAAAAAAGAGAAGGCTTCAGTCTTAAAAGAATTTAATTTGATCACTCTTGTCTATTAAGACGCGAGCAAGGAAAAAAGCTACGTATTTTTTTAAGCTGAAGCTGAGTCGATAGTACTTCCTAAAGATTAATTTGTGTATCACGTGACGTGGTCGATATAGGAACAAACAACACCCAAAGTCACGTGATTAAGAACACAAGACTTTGAACATTTGTTCATCTCATTGACACTAACCTTACTCTAAATTATAATGAAATGTTAAATACACAAACGACTGGCATTCCATTTAGCTGTGATAGACTATAAAAACACCATTACCGAGGCAAGCACGCCATCAGACAACATGCTGTGACTATCAGCTGATAATCGGTCAATACCTTGATTAATTTCAGAAGATTTTCAAATAATGTCTAACCTATTGACATAATGGCTTATTCACTGCGGGATAGATTGGTTTTTTTCTTTTTAAATTGCGTGTCCAAGCGTGTGTTTAACTGACTTCTGTTGGGTGTCGACTTATTTCAGTTTTCTTCAGTTTATTTTCGTTTTCATTTCGTTAGGAAGCAGACTTGAAGGGTTAGAGAGTAATTTGTTTTCTTATAGCTGACTTAAATTTCAGTCACTTTATTCTACCAATTCATCTATCTCTTAGTATTGATATCAGTTTAGTTAGCTGGATAGAAACTAAAGGAAGAAAACTGAACATTTATTTCGCGAAAGGAGTTTTTCTTTATACTTTTTCCAAAATGTTTTCATTGGAACATAGTTCCATGACGAGAACTTTGAAGAAAAAACGTTTAAAACTCCGTGTGTATCCCTTTAACTTTATGGAATCCGTGTGATGTCTTTAACGTACTTAGCTGCTGATACTGGTACTGCATGTCGCTTGATGCCCTTTCAAAAACTCGATCTTTCACTGCGAAATCTATACTTCAAACTTTTCTCACATCATACTGCGATTTTTTAAAATGTTTTTTTAAAAAAGTCATTTCTAAGTTGACTCTATAGCTCTCTTTCAAGACCATTGCATAATCAGTATACAAAATTATTCAATAGTTTTGAAAATGGAATCAATTTGTCAGCCGTAATAAAAAACAGACTGGTTTTCTGCTCGTATTATCATTTTCCTTTTAAGCCAACAATCCTTAGAACTCAAGCAGGCATTAATTAACTATTTCGCCCCGAGGCGGCGAGATAACTAGGCAAAAAAAAAAAAAGGCTCTTAGCCGAGCTTGCTTCGCCGTGTATTAAATACTACTTAAAGACTCTAAAGCAGGCCAGAAAGTTGTGTCTAACTAAGGATTAAACACTCCTAACTACGCTCATTATCCTAATRATTTATAAAACTATTGTTCTTGTTCAAATTCCTTTATTAACTGAAACAACGGCTCATGCAAAGAGCTTTGGTAATTAAGAGAACCAATTATTTTAGAATCTTGAATTAGATAAACAATCTTTGAGACATGTTATTTTTAATTCATAGTCAACAAGTTCGTCTAATTCATTCTAAGCAGCTTAGAATGCTTGTGTATGAAGGGTAATAAGCTAGATATAATAGAGAATTTTCCTGGCATGATATGAATTAATTGTGCTTTTTTGGTGTTTCTCAAGGGCAAGGGCACTGGGTTACCGGAATGCCATCGATGAAAGATAGGAAAGCATTCGGTCTGCTATACGGCCCCTTTGACTTAACGGAATCAACTGACTCAATATCTTCGTGATAGAAAATTCATAAAGTATGATGCAAATCATAGTTTTAAGGAGTAAAACCTTCAAACCAAAAACTGGCTTTGCACGAATAATAAACGTGTTCTATGATAAAGTTATATGACTAAGATGTGAGATTAGATTGTGATTTGAGATCATGAGAAATAATAGCCAATTGCGACGCAATGTTCTTAGAATAATTGCTGAGTAATTCTCACTGTTGGCCAATTTTTAGAAGAATGTGACATTGAGAAAATCCTCTGCTTTAATATGAATCTTAATCCTAATCCTAATGAATGAAAAAAACAAGTTTTGAAATCATTCAACAGTGACACAAAGCTGTTTTTCTTGTCATCAAAATTTAATGAAAAGTTCACAGATTACCCTAAGGGGCTGTAACTCAAATAATTCAGGAATTAGAACTGAGCTATATAGACGCAATTACCAAGAAAGAAGAAAGGTTTCATTACTATGCGAGTTAAGAGGATTATTGACCCTCGAAGGAAGGATATTATACATTGTGATGTGGTGATGTTTTTAAGCAAGATTGAAAGGTTGTAGGATCTGGGCGGGGAATTGAACCGCCTATTCATACGGTCCTCTTGTGTGTTGGTTTACCGTGGGGGCGTTCCCAGGTCTAGAACCCGTCTTCCTTTTCAGAGAGTTTTCGCCAAAAACTTGGGTTAAAAAGAAAAAAAAAGGGAAAAAAACACACAAAAGCCTTCTATTGGCTTCCCATTGTTGTATTAGCCAATTAGAAAACATTCTATAGCGACAACCAAAATGAAAGCGGGCTCATGACCATGACGGTTTAAGAGAGGCGACGCATGCGCGTTTCGTTCACACGTTTCGTTCAATCAATGAAAGGACAAGGGCAGTGTTTAACATTCATCCAATACTGGATGAAAACAAACTCCAAACCAATGTGAAAGAATGTGAAATTTGGCCAAGTTGAATAGCTATCAAGTTATCAAGAAAAAGCTTTTCATTTTTCACTCAGTTTGGTTTTAAAACTAGTGTCACTTCACTTCCGCGAAGGTATTTTTCACTCTGAGATTTCTAGGTAATAAGGCACGAAGATTTAAATGAAGATCCCTGTTTAATTATGGCATGCAGTATGCACAATTCAAATGCATATTCAAATGCTTCGAGAAAAAGTTCATAGTTTCGTATCAGTACTGTCGCTACATTGGTTCTATACTTCCATTTCAGACCACGTCACTGGTAAACAAAGAAGTAATACTCAAGGGAATAACACGTGGTTTGCAAGAGTAACACAATGCGCTCAATTCGAAAGACTCAATCCAGTACTACGGTTTGTTGCATGGTTTAAATATTCTGCTTTACTACATTCCGCTGAAAACGGAAAAGACGCACATCTGCAAGAGGAACGCACACAGGTACATCAACCATAGCGAAGACAGACATCTTTCACAAGAATCAAGCACTTTGATTGGATGGTGCCCTTGGTCGTCTCCGCGTTTCATTTGGACGCGTGGTTTAAACAAATGCATTGCTATTAAAGATATAATTGTTTTTTCGTGAAGCAAATGTTTCTCGGAAAGAATTCCGAGCAATGCTGTCACGTCAAGTGTAGTAGTTGTAGACAAGCTGAACTGTTTCTTCAATCATGGATAATCTATTTCCAAGCTTGTTTTGGCAAATCTATTCTAAAGATTTAATGCGAAAAAAATTTAAGAATTAAAAAAACGTTGAAACTTTAGTAACTGCTTTAGTAGCTTAAACGATTTGCCGACTAAAAGGAAATGTGTGGTCAGGAGCCACCTTAGTGCGCATGCACATTTACGATTCCTCTTGTCCGTCGCATATAAAGCTTTTCAGTATTTGCTAGGAAGATTTTCCTTTTTTTCTCGTTAGTTATATTGATTTTTCAACTTAGGACCATACTTCCAGACATCGAATGCTGAACCGTCGTATGGCAGCGCGAAGCATTTACGGCTACGCCGGAGATTTCGACCCCGACACCGCTATCCCTGGATTAACAGACTGATCAGGAAGCTCGGCCTAAACCTAAGGGAGAGGTTAGTCGGCCCCTAGACCATAGATGATTAACCCCTTGCTATGACCAGTATACCCGATGTTTCGATCGTGCCACTGATGGCTAAGCACCCATGATTACCCCTTTCCATGTGGGTTGCGATTTGAAGAGTTAGCCGAGACGCAAATCAAAATTTAAGTTATAAGTTATACTTTACTACATTCTGGACTACATTCCTTTCTTCTTGTGTCGTTGATACTGTGAGAAAGAAAATTATGAAAGGATGCCGACACATGGAGAAAGGAATGCAGACTAATAGTTTGATGGGCGGAGTCGTAGACGTTTTGAGGCGTGACTTTGGCATGTTTTTTGGCGTGACAACCCAGTTCCGTGACACCCGTAGTTGTAAACGTTTGTAGGCGTACAATAACCAATCAGAAACGAATTTTGGCAAGACAAATAATGCTGACTGACGGAAGAAACCCATTTGCGCATGCCCAAAATCGGTATGTAAACTAGTCGCCAATAGCTAGCTTTTTCTGATTTCTATACAGGATGCATTGTGGTCTAGCTTGGGTACAAATAAGGCTCGAGAATGCACCACTCGCTATCTCAGGAAGGGTCTACGTCTTCATGTAATAATATGCAAAATTGGGTCTTAAGCTATTCTGACAAATGAATTTTACAAACTTAACAGTTCCAAGTCTTTCATCTTATATTGTTTCTTTGTTTTGCAAAAGTATAGAAGCAAGATTTTTTTTCAGCGTATCATCCATTCCGAGATGGAGGAAAAAACTTGGTCGAATTTGCATTACAGTGCATTGTAGGACTATTAATTTAATAGCACGAAATAGAAATTTGTCTCCTAAAACATTCCCATATTATGAACTGCATTACCAACTTGTCCCAGTTCTTCCCTCAAACTCGGAATGGATGATTCTGTGTAAACGAGCGGTTTGTTTTTATACTAAGACTCTTGGCATCTTGGTAAATGTGCTGAAATGCAAGCATGTGTATATGTGGGAAACACCTTCCAAAGCGTCAAAGATGCCTTGAAGAATAACCAGCTGATCTGAGTAAAAAATGTCAGTCAAGCAGAATCAAGAAAATTTGCAAAACTGAGGTGTCATTTTTCATCTCTAAATCAYGGATTTTCAGGCCAGGGGATAAAAACGTTGATAATAAAAAGCTGATAACCGTAACACGAGTTTTATGTTGTTATTGCAATGGTAGTGGATAGGTTTTTATTTTATCCGTTCAATTTTTGCAGGCTTCAGGACACCTCAGTTTTGCAGTGACGTCATTTCTATGACGTCAGATTAGCAGGAATCGGCTTGCCGTAGTGTCACGTGACATCGTAGATATTCACGGGATCGTGATAATTACGGCATGCACTATACAGGACCTTTAAGGGACTTCATAGCACATAACAATAAATAGCATACGACCACATGCTGCGCCTACATTGCAGTCTTACATACAATTATGAAATTAAACCGGATCACAGATGGAAAAAGGACATGTTATGGACTATAGTTTTCTGCTATTAGTACTGGCTGTCTGATCTTAAACTAAAGATTTAAAGAAAATACCGACATTAACACTGCTATGTCGGTACGAGCACGGAAATGATCTTCCCACTGCTATGACTTATCTTAACTGAGATAAACAGGGATCTTTGCGGCAGACGGTTAGGACCAGTTAGAGACAACAGAGACTTAATTGGAACTGACTATGCAGACCTCCTTCTTTTCTCACTTCGGGAGATCACACAGCAGAAACTCCGGTTCGTGCGCGGATAGATTTTTAAGATAGTCTATTTTAATTATAGAATTGACATCAGATTTTCATGTGTCTGTCCTCTTATTGACGATAAATTGCGTCATCACATTACGCCTGGTGGATCCGCATACTACTTTGACAATGTGATGACGCAATTTATTGTCAATAAGATGACTGACACAAAATCTGATTTCTATTYGTYTTTTAAAATAACAAAAATGATAAAAACTTCTCATTTTTAGCGATCAAAACAACCAACGGAAAGAGTGCGCGCTCGTTGACGTCAGCTTTATCTGTATGTCCTCTTATTGATGATAAAAAAATAACCAATCAACGTGCGAGAAATTATTAAATTATTGTAAAAAATGGCTTTGTAAAACGAAATCTTTCCAGTCGTAGAGTCAGAAGTAAAATCCTGATTCCGTCTTGTGTCTGCGAGTTGCACTCTAAAATTTGGATTTTCGCTGCCGTCAGTCAAAAATACGAAAGGTATCGCCTGATTAGGTTTGATTGACGGCAGCGAAGAACCAAGTTTCAGTGTGCAGCTCGCAGACACAGAGTTCGCATGTTTGAAAATCGCAGTAAAATCTATTAAGAAATATAAAACGTCTGCGTCTTCGAAAAGAATGAAATATTTTTGCAGCTTTCTATCTATGAACCCTAACTACTAAACTTGCTTGAAGATAACTGAATTTTACAGCGCTTCTCATTCACACGCGTGAAATCGTACAATTTGCCATCGTGTCGAAGTAGGTTTTGCTGGACGTCAATCAGTGCGTTTCTATGACATTCCTAGGCACGTGTCCTTAAAAGCTTTGTGTTTTCCGACAATGCTGGGAAACACTTTGATTGGCGTCCACCAAAACTTTTCGCGCGTGCGATTTAGAAGCGCTGTCACTGTGAATAACATTACTTATAAGCTGATGTTACACTGGACGATTCGCAACGGCAATTTTTGGGATTTTGGGGTTTGGCAACGCATTGCAAGTTTTTGATTTAACTTCAAAAACTTGTAACGGAGAATTGCGAATTTTTTGCAACATGTTGGTTCGTGTAACAGTTTCATCAACGGTTTTTCGCGCAAAGCATGTTGATTTTCGAACGAACGTTGCGCGAAAAATTGACCCGTGTAACTTGTATTTTTAAAAAATCGACGAGTCGTATCGCGAAAAATCGTCGTTGCGAATCCCGCGTAACATCAGCTTTACTCAGTCAAGACACGTGTGTTTCCAACCTCATGTCGGCAGGACAAGTACAATTCAGTTTAAAAACACAAATCAATTCAAAATCGATGATCGAACAAATTCGAATAAAATGAAGTAATACAACGATAGCCGTAAAAAAGCTTATATTTTTTTAGGAAAAAATAAAAAATAAAAAWAAATCTTAATCATGCATGATCATAAGAAAAAAACGTTTGAAGCGTTTTTCAAAGAAAAGTTTCAATTCTTTTAACGTTATAGGATCCTTATAAACTTTAAAGTTAATGAAAATATCCAAGGATTTCAATTCAAAATTATCATAAAACTATTGTATTTTGATCAGCAGTTTTTCGTAGGTTTATTTTCAAATATCATTCATTCAGAAACAAGTTTTTTTTTATCTCATCGACCTCCTAAGCTTGCCAACTAACAACAACATACATGATGTACCGCTATTACTCCAGGAAGCAAACAGAAACACAGTAGTGCCTTGCACCCTGCAATTTTTAATCTTTATCCCAGAAGTTATTAGTTAGTTGAAGTTTTTATATCTGATTCTAAATACTCGTCTAATGAATGGAACAATTTTCAAAATAATCTTATCACAAACGAATCTTTTCGAACATATAATTGAGAGATTTTTTAAATCGCTATTATATTTATTTCAGTATAGTAAATTACAACAGCTTCGGTCCAAAATTCGCTTCTTCGAAAACTCAGAGATGTTTTTTCACAGATGTTTTTTCACGTAGCTGTTTCTAGCTTGAAGATTTCAGAATTTTTTTCAGAGAAAGGAAATATATATAAAAAAACGACTGAAGACTTCATGGCTTCTTGGATAAAAGACATCGAAAACTTAAGACCAGATGCACAATGCAGTAATTCAGAGTTTTTTACATTGTCCCGTGTGGCGTAGTTTTATCGATAAACTCAACAGCGTTCGTACTTTTGAGATATTAAGAAACGAACCTCTGTGGTTTCTCTGATAACTCTCGTGTTTATTATTAGTTTTCAACAAGTTCGTATACAACATGGCTTGGTCTAATAAAATTCTTACTAGGGGTCTTCATGTTTGCTTTTACGAAAAACAAAACAAAACATAGCTGAACTGATTGTAAATGGCCAATGATAACAGAAGTTTATCTCACATTAACTTGAATTAGTTTTTCAAATTTCGATAAATGAAAATTCTTTGCGAGTATATTTTCAAGAAAATTGGTTTTATTAAGAACTCCAAAAGCAAAGAAGTTTATATAAATACAAAAATCGCTCATTATATCTCAAAGCAGGATATGTTTTCAGCGAGGTTTACTACAGAAGGCGGAGAATTTCGTTTAAGAAATGAATAATAAAGTGAAGGATTGAAAACATAAAGAATATATATGTCCAACTCCTCTCTTTAGCTCCTACTTTTGTCAAAGAAGGCATAGTAGTTACTGCAAACAAATTTTAGGAGTTTCCAAATTACTACGTTAAAAAGAAAAAAATCTCTATGGGCAAACTTTTTTTTTTCAATTCCATTTATTTTGGCTGTTTAAAACATTGTATTTTATCTTTTTAGAACTATATAATACAAGAAGCTTGAACTAGTGGTAGAAGTAGGAATAATGATTATTTAGAAGGAATCTCATTCGTTACGTTTCGAGAACTGAGATAACGTACAACCTTACCACTTCACATTAGTATTGATCTGTCTTATATTAAGTGGCCACTTTGAA